CAAAAGGGGAACTGTCTTCCCAGAGATATAGATCTTTCCAGAAGACTCCAGCCCCCCAGTGACAGAGACTGATAAGGGACATGCTAGAGCCGAGGGGTGCTCAGGAGCAGGTGCAGGAGTGTTGGGGTGGTAACTGGAAAAGTCCTGCCATCCCGCCAAGTCTGTATCTGATGCCTAGGCCTCTGTGGCCTCGCAGTATCCACAGAGCGTGACACGCTGGGGCTGCAGTAGAGGACAGGGTGCAGCAGGTCTGGAGTTTACAGCCAGATATCAGGGAGCACCTAAAACTGCTTCCACTGTCCCGGGGATGCTGCGGACTCCAGGCTTGTTGCCGTTCACAGTGACTTGGTCCTCTGTACAGTGCTGTTCCAGGTGGTCAGGCAGCCAGCTCCATACTTTGCAGACATCTGTGGCCTAGTTCAAGACAGGCGTCTGGCTGTTTGCAGTTGGCTGACCTTATTGCCGTATTTGATGTCTGTGCCTCTCCTTTCCTTTCCCTGATCTGGAGTCTACAGTAAAGAAACGTTAAGTCAGTTTAGAGTGCTGGCCACTGGGCCCGGCCAACAGCCAGTTAGAAAATCAAGGTACTTGATACGATAGGATTGCTTCCTCCCAAAACTTACCAAGACCCAAACCTAAGGCTAAATCAGAAATTTCCGAGTTATAAATTTGTATTTTTCTGTCAAAATGAAGTTGGCGAAAACATCCTCTTTGTTGGGTTCCAGCACTGTCATCTGCCAGGCGCACACCATGCATTCTCCCCCGTCTTGCCAACCACAGCAGTTACCGAAGCAAGTGACACATGCCCAACATATGTCTGTGCCCAGTTCCAGGTGCTAGACAGGCCCCTGGCGTGACAGCTCCCACAGGCGGTTTGGCAGCTGCTGCATCAGGAACATTTTCTACAGAGGGAGGTGCAGGTTCCAGCCAGTTTACAGCATAACAGCAGAGTCCAGGGAAATCAGGCCTGTTAGATCAGCCTTCTCCTTAAAGGAAAAAACCTGTATCACATATGATAATGAGCAAGTGAGAACCAAGGGTGCCCAGTGTGACCACCACTGTGTTCTGTCACAGCATGTGTCAGTCTTCCGTCAGCATGCACTCTTCCAGGACCACGTGCACTGAAGTACCCAGGGCCCGAGAGACACCCAGGAGGTGCTTACTGACCGTGTGACCAAGGGAGTACTCTCATTAGAGTCGAGTCCAGGTCTGTGATCTCGGCCCAAATCCCAGGTCATTAATACTCTCTGAATACAGTGAGGCTCAGAAGCGATAAGGGTGGGTTCTTGATAAATTGGATCCCAGCTTCAGGACAAAACAGGTTTGTACACTAGCCACTTTGGCAAGTTATGTCAGAATAGCTTTCAAATGCGGCGCCTGTTTATCAGGCATGGCTTTGAAAAAACAGGCGCCTGCCAAGCCAAGGACGTGGGGTTAATAGGGTCGGGGTGGGAGTGCATTCTTCAGCAGTGGCTGATCTCGAGAGCAGTTGGTGGGGGGTTTCTAGAGCTTTCTGTATCCTTGAACACAGTGATACCGTTACGGAAGGTTGTCCTAAGGAAATGATCGGAATTGCTGATAAAGCTGTGTCTAGCCGAATGTTCTGGTAAAGCCCAGTATGTCGCTTTATAATCAAGTCATGTAGCTACTAAGGTACCTGGAAACATGCTAAGTGGTACGGGACAGCAGCGTTGCACAAGCCAGTGTCAATGAAAAAGCAGAATGCTGTTGACAGGGAACACTGATGGCAGCTGTGAGGAAACAGGGTCTAGAGGGTAGTGACAGCAAGGTCACCGAGGGAGAGAGGCGAGTCTTCCCTCGCCCTCACCCGTTGTGTGGCGGGACGGGAAGCAGCACTTTGCACGGAACGTGAAGCAGAGGGCTCGTCCGCCTCTCCTGCGGCCAGCCGGCACAGCGTTCCACCTTGAGTGTTCTCCTTGAACATCCCTCCCGCCCTCACCCTTGCTCTTACCTGTGGACCTGTTGCCATCAAGTCAGTTCCCACTCAGCAAACCTGTGTGACAGAGTCGAGGTGCCCGTAGGTTTTCCTAGACTGTGATCTTTATGGGAGAAGCTTGCCAGTTCTTTGTGCCCTGGAGCAGCTGGTGGGTTCAGGTACCAACCGGTCAGCAGCTGAGCACTGACCTTGTAGCACTAGGGCTACTTTCTTATATGTGTCGGCAGGGAAAAATGTGAGGGGCACAGCTGACCTTTCAAAGCATCTGAGCAAGAGAATGGGATCGTTCTAGAAAAGCTGAAGCTTTGGTTTCCCTGTGCTGTGGGCTGCCTCATCCTCCTCCTGGGTTTCAGTCTGCACGTATCCTGTGTCTGTCATCAGTAGTTGAAAGATGATTGACTTCAGTGAGATTTTGCAATGTGCACGGTCTTGGTAAGGTTCTTGGGTGTTGTGTTTACTGCTGAATCCCTGGGACCAGAGTAATGCCTGGCTCCAGAGAGGGGCTCCGTCAGGCTTCACTGAAAGAGAAGGAAGCTGAAAATAGCAGAGTCACTGCCACCGAGCCACTCAGTGCCCTGGGGTGGTGTGGCCGTTCGGCACTGCAGCAGTCAGGTGGCACTGGATCTCTCAGAGCCCGAGTATAAGACGTCGGTCGGCACTGTCCAGTCGAGTTCAGCTCGGCCACCCCGTGTGCTGCAGACTAGAGCTGCTCCATAGGGCATTCCTGGCCGTCCTGCTCATGGGAGCAAGTCTTTCCACTGTGGAGCCACTGGGTAGGAACTGCCGGCTTCCGGTTCACGGCCACTGGGGCTCTGTTCCTCGAGTGTAAGATAACATACAACGGAGGTTAGAATCTGGTAGTTCTGACATGGGCAGACCTGTTTGTTTGTTTACATCATACAGCAAATTATTAATAATAAGGCCACTTTAATGGTACCTGTCAAAATGGGTTAAAATCACTTCTTTCAGACAGGTTTGAGTTATGTAGTAGTTAGGTGTTACGAATCAGACTGTGGGAATGGACATGTGAGTCCTTCAGGGAGCTTCAATCTGTAGTCCTTTGTTAGCATCATTTATACCCATGTGTGAACTTCAAAGAAGTGCAACTTATGTTGTTTTTGTTGTCTTTTATTTATTTATTTATTTATATTGTGATTTGGGTGAAAGTTTACAGAGCACTTTCACTTTCCATACAGCAGTTCACTTATACTTTGTCTCATGTCATTGACTATAATTTACCACAATGCAACAGCTCCCCTCCCACTTCTCCCCAGAGTTACCTCTTCCCTGTGTCCATCCCTCCATGCACTCCTGCCCCCTGAGCTGTCTCCCTGTGCATACACAGCCCTTCTATTCTCTGATTATTTTTCTCTCCAAGGAGTGTATCTACCTCAAGTAAATGTTTGGCTCATATGCCTGTCTTTTGTTTGGCTGGAAGCCACAGGAATGGGTTCAATTCTAGACCTAAAGGGCAGCTAGGGGCCATAGTCTCAGTGGTTCCACTAGGCTCTAGCAGACCAGCAAACCTGGTCCCTCCCCCCCAAACGATCTTGAGTTTTGTTCCATATTGTTCTCCCACTCTATCCAGGATCTCCTACACAGATCCCCCTCCAAGTGGTTGACAGTGGTAGCTGGGCACCCTCTAGTTCTGGTCTCATGGTCGTATAGGCTGAGGATCGCATGGTGCACTATTCGCTTGGACTAATTATTTCCATGAATCCTTGGTTTTCTTCATTCTTCTTTGCTCTGGACAAGGAGAGACCATCGTTGCATCTAGATGGCCGCTTGCAGGGTTTTAAGATGCCAGTCGTTACTCGCCAAAGTAGGATGTGGAACCAACTTGTATTGTTTCCCATAAATTATACTGACTTCTTCTAGATGAAATTGATGTCTTTGTAATTGATGGTGACATTTCTCAAGAACCATTGGATTATGTAGGATTCTCTTTTCTCTTAGAATTGAAAAACCCACAGGCCTCCTGGTTTTTTCAGGTCCCTCCTTTGCTAAACACGTTATTGCCGGTGAGGGTCCTTTGTTGTGATTCAGAATTTTTAGCAGAGAGACATCCGTCTGTGAATGTGTGCTGCCCACTAAGAAATTGTTTCCCTCTGACCTCATGCCAACCCTCTTCCTTCCAAACTAAAAGCCACAGGAAGTAGAATTGAATGTGACCTTCCTTGAGCTGCATATTCCCAGAGAGGGAGGTAGGATTTCCTTCAGACTCTGAGGAATAGTTTAGACTAATGAAGGGCAGAACCAAGGAAGGAAGACGCTCCAGTACCTTCCGCAGGCCCAACCCTGTCCTTAACATTGGTCTCCATTAACCTGTTACACAGGTGTGCTTCTGAAGTTGAGAACAGAGGCTCAGGAGATGAACAGTCAGTCATGCAAGTGAGGGATGACCGGCTGGCAACCAGACCTGACTCTGCTGTAAACCCTGTGTTATCGGAGTGACTCCTTTATCGGTTTTCTAAGTTAATTTGTTGCTGACAGGGTATTGAATAGCTATTGACTTCTGAAATGTGATAGTCATGGACAAGTAAGAAGAGTTGTTTGTAAGAGCAGTTAAGGAGCTCTGGCGGTGCAGTGGTTAAGGCATTTGGCTGCTAACCAAAAGGTCAGTGGTTTGAACCACCAACCAGTCCACAGAAGATGAGGCAGTCTGCTTCCGTAAAGATTAACAGCCTTGGAAACCCAGTGGGGGTGGCTGTGAGTTGGAATCGACTCAACGGCAGGGTGTTAGGTTTGGTGAGGAGCCTGATTAAGCTTTGCTTTGCACTTCCTTTATTATTTTACTTGTCAGTGACAAATTATTTTTAAAAATCTTATTACTGACCTCTCTCTTCAGCTTTCACTCAGATCTAAAGTGAAGCTGTGACTATAAATTGTTAACATTTGAGGCCAAGAGAGGGTAAGGAATTGCATAACAGTTTAGAGCTTTTAAAATCATCCTGAAAATTGTCTGTGTTCAAATTCAATTGCAGATTGACGTCTGTGCAGTTTGCCAAGGAGCTGTCTCACAGTCTCGTGTTTGTCTCCACAGTGACCCGGCCATGAAGCAGTTCCTGCTGTACTTGGATGAATCCAATGCCCTAGGGAAGAAGTTCATCATCCAAGACATTGATGACACACATGTCTTCGTGATAGCCGAGTTGGTTAATGTCCTCCAGGAGCGAGTGGGGGAATTAATGGACCAAAACACTTTTTCTCTAACCCAGAAGTGAAAGTATTAGATAATGACCACAGAGGAATTGTCAGCAGCAGACGTGAAACAGATTGTCACTGTCTGGTATCTCACGTGACTGATCAGACTGAGAGAATTGCTGAGGAACGTGCTCCAGGAAAGACTGGTGTCATGTGTTCAGAAAAAGCCCCAAATAGGTTCTACATGTACCCTAGAATTAAGAACACAAAAAGGAAGCAGCTACTGCTGCTTCAATAGTTGATTATAATTTGGCTTTTATTGTCAGTTATTAAAATATAAGTGTGAATGTTTTTCCTGTGTTTCTAATACCGGTTTAAATACATCAAGAACGTAATAGAATATGCTTTAAAATCATCATTCTAACCTAGGGATTTATTTTGCTTGTTCCTGTTAATGATTGGGGGTTTTCATAGCAGGTGGATAATTTTTGTTTTGTTTTCTTTAGAAACTTCACAGATTCACTGTTCTGATGAACATGCCAGGGAGGGAACTTAGGTAATATTTATATCTCACAAATAGCATCTGCATATTGGTCAGCTGTCCAGGGAGGAAGCTGGGGGAGCACACGTAACATTAATGTAAACTGTTTTGCTGAAAATAACTCAAACGGTCACAGCAGTACATAGATAGGGAACTGCCAGAAAGTCGGGCTGTATTCAGAAGAGGATGTGGAGCAAGGGATACCATTGCTGATGTCAGATGGATCTTAGCGGAAAGCAGAGAATACCAGAAACTAGTATGCTTAATGTTTTATCAAGTATGCAAAAGCATTCTATTGTGTGGATTGTAATGAATTACGGGTAACACTGTGAAGAATGGGAATTCCAGAACATATCTCTTGTGCTCTTGAGGAACCTGGACATAGACCAGGAGGCTGTCTTTTAAACAAAGGGATACTGCATGGTTTAAAATCAGGAAAGGCACACATCAGAGTTGTATCCTTTCACCATACGTAGTCAATCTGTATACTGAGCAAATAATCCGAGAAGATGGACTATATGAAAAAGAATGTGGCATCAGGATTGGAAGAAGACCAACCTACAATATGCAAGTGACACAACCTTGCTAAAAGCAAAGATGATTTGCAAAGATGATTTGAAGCACGCACTGATGAGGATCAAAGACTGCAGCCTTCAGTATGGATTCAACATAAAGAAAACAAACCCTCAGAGCTGGACCAGTAAGTCACATCGTGATAAACAGATGAGATTGAAGTTGTCAGGGATTTCATTTTACTTGTCTCCCCAAGGCCCGTGGAAGCAGCAGTTAGGAAATCAGATGACTTTGTGCACCGGGGGAATCTACTGTGAAAGAACTCTCGTATTAAAAAACAAAGGTGTCACTTTGAAGACTTCAGTGCACCTGACCCAAGCCATGGTATTTCTAGTCGCCTCGTAGGCATGCGAAAGCTGAACAATGAATAAGAAAGACCAAAAAAGATTGATGCCTTTGAATTATAGTGTTGGCAAAGAAATACTGGCTATACCATGGACTGCTAGAAGAACAAACAAATCTGTCTCTCAAAAAGTACAGCCAGAATGCTCCTTAGAAGCAGGAGTGGTGAGGCTTTGTCTCCGGTACTTTGAACATGTTATTGGGAGAGACCAGTCCCTGGAGAAGGACATCATGATTGGTTTAAAAAAGGAAAAGAGGAAGACACTGAGATGTGTTGACACAGTGGCTGCAACAATGGACTCAAACAGCAGCAATTTTGAGTCTAATGCAGGAGCGGACAGTGTTTTGTTCTGTTGTGATAGGGTCACTGTGTACAAAAAGGGGGTGAAGGAGGCACCTCCAAGTTCAGCCTCCTCTATGCAAGGGGGAGAGGGAGTCGCCATCAGCAACCCCAGGCTCGTTCCTGTGAGGCCAAACACGCTGCCACCCTCCAGCCTTTTTAGCGATTCTGACACCGACCATCTGTCCCACAGCACTCTACTTCTCTGCTGGGTTCAATAATTCATTGCAGTGGCCACACCCAACTCAGGCAGTACTTAAAATTATGGGTTTATTAACAAAATAACAGGTTATAATTCAGGATCAGAAACAAGTCAGGATACAGTTCTTCGGTCGGGACAACTTAACTCTGCCTAGAGGCCCACCCCTCTTTGGCCCTTGGCCTCTTGGCCTGGCCTCCACGCTGCTCGAGCAAGTGTTACAGAGCTCTTTAAACGCTGCCGGTAGGTGCACCCCACTCTCCCAGCAAGCCGCCTGTCCAGAGGCATTCAGCTTTCTCCCTTCCCGGGCCCGCAAGGCTACTGTCTTTCATCATTTCGGTCTCGGTTCTGCTGCCGCTGCTGCTGCCAGCCTCTACCCCCTCTCTGCTGTGGAGGTCCAGTGTGGGGATCTTGGCTCCAAGAACGTGCTCCACTCCTGGCTGCTGTCTGATGGCCGTGAGATCCCCTTTGCCACCTCTGGGAAGGCTTATTTTACGCCTAGCTGATGCCCAAACTGACCAGTCCTTACTTCAGGGTTCTGTACTCCTTATTTGCACAGTCCCACCCCCACCCAGGGCACCAGGTACTTTATTTACATTATTAGCAAGCTCTCCAATCCCCTTAGTGGTCCATAAGCACCTCATGTTTGCATAGTTTCACCCAGTCACCTGGTGGGCGTCACAGAGAACGGCAGAAGAGCCGCATTAATCTCTGCGCCTCACTGAGTGGGAGCCGACTCGGTGGAACCTAACTGTAACAACAACATAGTTTGTATTTTCCCCAAAAATACCATTTTTAAGAAGGTCACTGAGTTAGAAACAGCTGAACAGGAAAGGTACAGACTGCTTTGCGTCTTGAATTTACCTGTTCAGACTTCGTTGGCCAAGTTTTCTCATCAGGCCAAGCGTTCTTTTATTAAGATCAGTTTTACCTGTGTCTTACTCCCTGTATAGGAGATTTGGTGGCACAGTGGTTAAAGCAGCTGACACCCAGAAGGTTAGTGGTTTGAACCACCAACTGCTCTGCAGGAGAAAGATGAGACGGTCTATTTCCATAAAGATTTACTGCCTTGGAAACCCTATGGGGCAGTTCTGCTCTGCCCTGTGGGGTCGCCGTGGGTCATAATCAACTCGAGGGCAGTAGGTTTGGTTGGTTTTGGTTTATTCCTTACGAGAAGTCTCCATTTAAAGTTACCCTGGGAAAAAAACACAAGGCCAGCTAGAAGGAAAGACCCCTCAGGGCAGCGGGGTGTGAGGTTGCCGTATATTGTGTGTGGTTTTGTGACTGGAAGGAGCCAAGCAGTGGCTCCAGTAGGGGCTTTGCTTCCCTTCTGGAAGATTGGGGGGGGGGGGAGATTGTCCTGTGACAGGACTCTTTCCAGAGGAAAGAACACCACGCGTCGTGTGGGAGCACATCCACCCATTGTCGTGCCTCTGTGGGCTGTTGATCAGAACACCAGTGTGCCGTTTCCACTCCCTTGTACCTGTGACTGAAGCTGGAAAGGGTTACAGGTCGTTGCGTTTCTCGTGATCCTCAGAGACAGTACACACAGTTCTGAGTCTCGTGTAACAGTGCACCCAATTTTGATGGGTTGCTGGTACATCTACTAAAACTTGTCCAAAGGAAGACAGGTTTCTTCAGAACTCCAGCTGTATTGAAATAGTGTCAGACCTTGTATTTCAGGCATGTCTTAATCAATTTTTAACATCCCTCAGCCATTTGTCACCAAATGCTTTTTATATTCACATGAAACTTAAAGAAGCTTTTTCTTGAGTCTCAGCATGGAGAAAGGCATATTGAACAGTGGCTGCAAAGAGGTGAGTGAGGAAAATACTCTGTTAATTTTTATTTTTAAAAAGCTGGGTTGGGAATGTGTGAGGCATCTTTCTTGGAACACTACCTCAGGAAATAAGGGGGAGTGTGACAGAGGGAAGCCACTTGGAGCCCTGTAATTGACTTATCCAACTCTGAGAGAACAGGAACTATCAAGTGACGCTTACGCTGACTCCCTTGCCTCGAGTCTTAGTGGCATCGTCTCATCTGCTGCCCTTAGGTCTCCAGAACGGGTAGGCTGCTTGACGCTGGCAAACTTAATACACCCATTCCTCACTTGCCGATGTGGTTAGGTTGCAAAGCCAGGTCGATGTGTGAACTCAGCCTTACGGGGCCACGCCCTGTCCTCAGTACTGATCTCCCCATCTCCCGTCATCAGGTGTCCCGGGCATGTCTCAGGATTCGCGTGAGGCATCGGACTCACCTTCTCACCATGCCTTCCCCAGCATCGCAGGGTCCTGGGGGCTGGGGGAAGGGTCGAGTATGGCTCATCCACCATCTGCCCCAGCCCCACAGCCCATGTGGCCCCTTCCCTCTCTCCCCCTTCCCACCTCCCTTCACCAACTTCCAAGCACCTTCAGGCCCTCTCCTGGCTTCCCCCACCCACCTGCAACCTTGTGTCATCCCACCATTGCCCCATGTCCTCCATGGCCACTGTCCCTTGTGTGGCCCACTTATCACCAGGGTTTGGTATCCAGTATATCGTTTGGGGTGGCCTGCAGAGAGCACCTTGGGCCTGGCTGCAGTCCCGTGTGGGACCCAGACCATCAGAGGCCCCCCTGAGAATTTTTTCAATGTTGTAAATGCAAAATGTCAGATGATAAGATAGTCGATAAGTGAGAAGTAAGTTTGTCTTGTTACTTTTAACAAACTCCTAAACACTGTGAAAGGGGCTGAGTAGCTTAGATTTTCTTACTGCTTCAAAGAATCACTTCACAGAAGAGCGGTGACCAGTCACAGAGATCCAGGATGAACACTGGTTTTCTCCACCAGTGGTATAAAGCCTAATTCATCACAGCAAACATGGTACTGAAAGAGCTATTGGTGGGAACTAGTGAAGAAGCTGGTTAAAAAGTCTTGTTCTCAGGGTGGGGATCCTGGGTGCTGCAGGTTAATGCACTCACCTGGTAACCAATGGGTTAGGACTTGAAGGTCACCCCGCGGTGCTCGGAAGAAAGGCCTGGCGGCCTGCTTTTTACAAATCAGTCATTAAAAGTTCTGTGGAGCGAGAGGCGGGGCAAGATGGCGGACTAGGCAGAAGGATTGCACAGACCCTCTTCAACAAAGAAAA